TCATATAGCAATCCCTGTGAAAGGGTCATTGCACACCAGCACCCCCAGGGGGCCAAGACCCCAGCTCTAGGATCTTTTCCAGAGTACCCCCCGCTGGCAGCGGTGAAGGAAGCTCCCTCCAGACCGGCCGCATTCCTCTGCCTGTCCAGGCCAGCAGAGGCCAGGGCAAGGGTAGCAGTTGCTCTGCAGTGCCCCACAGGCTGTCTGTCTCCTGCAGATCTGGCTCAAGAGGCCAAAGAGCACAGCACTGAGAGGTGACCAGGCCCACGAGAGGAAATGATATCAATGGAAATGATTATAGCAAAAGAAAGATTTACTCCTTATACAAAATACTATCAGCCCAGCCATAAGTAGTTTAGTGCACCTACAATCCCAGTGCTTGGGAAGGTGAGGCAGGAGCCTGGCATGAATCTGAGGCCAGCCAGGGCTCCAGACATTTGCCTGGAAAGAAATCTCTAGAGGCATGATTTTAGTTATATAGTTACAAAGCATATCTATGTAATATCACGTATAGAGTGTAACATTCAGACTAGTGAGTGTATAAACACCCCTTGAGAGCTACACAGACATAAAAGGTGATTTGTTAAGTCACCTTATAACCACAGAGACACATTCATTGGCAGTCTATGGAGAGGCTAGGTCCTTACAAATTAAAAGGGGACACGTGCTGTTGGGCCAATGTGCTGAGCAAGCAGCTGGGAAACCCAGCCTTCTATTCTGGGACCTGAAATCTAGTACCTTCAGCAAATAGCATCATCAATATTTTAAAGCCATATTTGGGCTCCGAGAGGGTAGGCATACCCCTCCCCTGTTCAGAGCCTTCCAGGCACCTCCCTTTCTGTGAGCATTAACCCTTCTCCAGCCAGTGCGAAGGAATCCCTACCCACATGCCAATGCCAAGGCTTGGATATTGCACCAATGCAAAGCATTTTAACTTTTCTGAGGACTCTGCTTCCTACGCTACTTTCTTCTGGCAAGGAGTTGTGTGGAATAATGGTAAACGACACTTGGTAAATCACCAAGACATGCGAGTAAAAATGCAGCCAGGTCTGGGACACTGTGGTAGAGGGTGGAGTAGCTGTCAGGAATGTGCCAGGCCCTCTCTACCCTCCCCAGGGTCTCAGAGGACAGGCATGCGCCCACCCAAAGGACTTCCCTCATAGCTCACAGGTGGGGGTACACCCTGGGTAGAACTCAGTTCTTTAGGGATCCAGAAAGAGCAACACCCCACTTCTCCTATAGAATCTTGCCAAGGCAGGAACTTGTCCCCAGCTGAAACATGATCCTCTGGGGAGAGCCCAGTTTCTGTAGGAAAATAGACACCTAGAACCTTCTAAAGCCACACTGCGGGCGCTTGGCGTTTAGAGCTTAGGACTGTTGGGACTTGGGGCTAGACCACTCACTTTCCCACAGCCTCAGGCAGCAACGTTGCCTGTGTTAAAATAACAGGGCACAGGACTGGAGAGACGGCTCAGTGGGAACAATGTCTGTTGCAGGGGCATCGGACCTGAGTTCAGATTCTGATTGCAGGAGGCAAGGCGTGTGAACACACACCTGCCTGCGATCCAGAGCCAGGAGTGCAAAGCTCAATAGCCAGTGAGCCTTGGGGGAGAGCGAGCTCCAGATTCAATGAGACCTCAGTAAAATGAGCTGGGGGCGGAGCTTGGATGGGATCCTGGGACCTCTTGCCAGGCTTTCCCATCTCGACCACCAGCTCCCTTGCTTAAATAAGTAAATCATAAGATTCGCTTGCATTTATTTTATGTGTGTAAATGTTGCGCCTGCTTGTATGTCTATGCATGAGTGTGCATGCCTGAAGCCTAAGGAGGGCAGAAGAGGGTGCTGGGTTCCCTGGAATTGGGGGTTACACATGTTTATAAGCTCCCATGTGGGCGCTGGGAATCGAACCCCCAGTCCTCCAAGAAAGCAGCCAGTAAGCCACAGAGCCACCCCTCCAACCCTGGGGTCCCACACTTTCCTCTCTCCTTCCGTCATCGCTCTCGCACACCTGTGGCACAGCTAGCGTACATTTCCACCTCACTTGAAGGAGTGAGCAGGCAGGCCCCAGAGCACACTGTCTGCCTGAGAAGTCAGTCTGTGGGATCTCAGCCTCCACTAAGGACGCGTCTTCCTCATCAGCAGAGGCACCAATAACAGCATTAGCGCCTGACGGGCTCATGGCAAGCATTCATTAATTCACACTTGAGAAGCCCTGTGGATGGAGCCAGCTACTCACGTCCCAAATGCTCCCCAGCCATTAGCTATTGCTATAATGGCCTTGTTGTCAAGGGACATCTGGTGGCTTCAGAAGGTGACTGGCTCCCACAAGCAAGGGTCTGAGACAGAAATGACAACAGAGGCGAGTTTAAGACAGGGGAAACACAGGAAATATCAGAAGAATGGTTAAAGGAGGCTGGGCGTTGGTGGTGCACACCTTTAATCCCAGCACGGGAGGCAGAGGCAGGCGGATCTCTTCGAGTTCGAGGCCAGCCTGGTCTACAGAGTGAGTACCAAGACAGCCTGAGCTGTTACATAGAAAACACTGTCCGGGGGCGGGGGAAAGATTAAAGGAAGAAAGCAAAGACGGGGTGTGTGTGTGTGTGTGTGTGTGTGTGTGTGTGTGTGTGTGTGTTCAGGTAGCATGTAGCAGGGAAGATAGGGAGAGGGGACAACGGAAAAGGAAAAAAAGAGGTAAAGCAAAACAAACTGATCAGGAAGGACAAGAGAAAAGAAAGTCTGAGGGAAAAAAAAAAAACAAGGTAACAATGGCGATTAAAGGGGGTGGCGGCTTGAGGGTGAGCAAAAGCCAGGTGTGATTTCTTCACTCTGGAAGCAGAGGGGAAGCCATCTCTAGGCCAGTGAAGCCTACACAGTGAGACCCTGTCTCAAAAGAATAACGCACTCACAGAACTAAAAAGTAATAATAAAATGGGGGGGTGTTTACGTTGTGCTACATCAGAAGCAGGAGAGATCGCACAAGTGTTGAACGGCCCAGAGTATTTTCAGGGATGGTGCCTTTGCCATCTCGCTCGCCTCGGCCCTTCCCCTTGGCCCTCAAGGCCCGATTCAGTTTCAGCGAACAGCTGGCAGGGGGACTTAGTCCTAGAGTTCGTCTGTCCAGATGTGGGCCTTGTGACTGCTTTGCTCTGCTGGCAAGGCGAAGATGCAGGGACCCAGGCGTATTCATTCCCCTAATGCCCTAGTCATCATTTTAAAGGTGCGATTGGCTCTGGAATATGCTTGTTGGGTACCGCGAACTTTCATAAATCTGGACCGGAGGCTGTAATTTTTACTTTTAAAATTATCCACCTCGGTCTCCCACGCCCCAACCTAACCTGGCCAGTTAAGAACTAGAAGGAAGCGGTGATTCTATACTGCATGAATGCCCTTTTTGGAGCTTTAACTTGTCTCAAAAATCAGAAAGATCAACCACTTAGAGACGAGAGAGGGCGGATCGGGACGTAAGGTAAAAATCCGCATTTCAGAAATCACTTTCACTGTTATCTTTAATTAATCGCCTGCTGTAAAACGCGCCCCGTCGTCCTACTCGAGGAACCCAGGAGGGTGCTGGAAAGGAACTCATCCCCGCGGCTCCGCCCAGGACTCCGGGCTCCTCGCCCGCGCGCCAGGCTGGGAGGAGGCTCGGCGGCACGTGACCCGCTCCAGCCGCCCTGGCCGGCGACCCAGATCCGTCCCCGAACCCAGGCGCGGCGCGGCGCGGCTGCCCTGGCCCTGCTGCGCTCCTGTGCGCGTGCATTTGGGGCCCGGGTCCCTTCTGCGCTCACGTGCCACCTGCGGTCTCCAATGCCCCTGTGGGAACGTGCCTGTCAATTCAGTGCGGGAGCAACCCGGGGTCTCCACCTCCACAGGGATGGGATTCGTATTTATCCTGAGTTGCGGGGGCACTGGCACCTGGGGACGCCTGTCCTCGCCGTGCGGACCGAGGACGCGGGGCGCGCGCACGGCATCCCTGCGCGCTGATGTGGCAGCCGCCGCAGGTCGCATCACGTTGCCGGCCCTGTGCTGGTACCCGCTGGAGACGGGATTAAGGAGGGAGGCCGCGGAGGTGCCAGTAGTAAACGTGGGCTCGCCACACTCGGTGCGGCTTATTGCACGGTGTGTGTGTGTGTGTGTGTGTGTGTGTGTGTGTGGCGGGGGGCGGAAGGCGGGGGACACACAGCACGGCGTCACGCAAGTTGGGGCGGGCAGGACCCGAACTGCGTGGCTTCCCCGCAGCAGTCCTTACGTGCCACCGGCTCCCTGCCACCTCTCCTCCTCTCCGCGCTCCCCCGGGAGCACCCGAGGCCCCAAACGTCATCTGCCACTGTGGTTAGTGCCACCGCAATTCCGGCTGCTGCGGGAAGTTTAGGTAGCCCGGGGACACTGTGTCTCCACCTGGAATGCGACATTCAGAACCAGTGACAAATTTCCACTGATCTTATTGTATCCGTCCAGAGAGCGGATTGCAAGTCACCCCTTTTCAGGGCAGCGCTCTAGCCGGCGCCAGGGGGTGTCTTTCTACCCTACCCCCCCTCCACGCCCGACCAGTGAGCAGTGAGTGAGCAAAGCCTCGGAAATTTCCTTGTCTGCTCAAGTTCAGCCACCGGGAATTCGCGTCCTTTCCGTGGCCCAAACCAACAGCAATCGGTGGGAAAGCGAAAGGCCACGTCCACGGTTCTGTGCCGAGATGCCGGCCGAGCCGGGGCAGCCCCGCGTCCCGCCCCGCCCCCGCGCCCTGCAGCGTCTCGGCTCGGCTGGGGTGGCCGATTCCTCCCGGCGGCCCCGATCAGGTGTCCCCGCCCCCTCCCGGCCCCTCCTCCCCGCCCCCCTCCGGGCTGGACCGCGGATGGTACGTTCCGCACGTGAGCTGGGTGCTGGTCTGGCCGGCGACGCGCGTGCCCTGTGGCCAAACACTGCCCGGAGTGAGAGCAAACTACCAGCGCAGTGCGTGTGTGTGTGCGCGCGGGTGTGCGCGCGCGGGTGTGCGAGAGGGTGAGCGAGCGAGCACGGGGCGGAGGGGCGGCCAACTGCTTCACACTTTCAACACTGCACGGAAGAGGGAGAGCGAGGCAGCCTGGAGACACACGCGTCCCCCCAAGATCTCCCCAGGCGAAAGTCCCACAGATTACAAGACAGAACCCTCCAAATCGAAACGGAGGAAACGGACAGCCATTGAACATGGACGAAGGAATCCCTCATTTGCAAGAGAGACAGTTACTGGAACATAGGGATTTTATAGGGTAAGGTGTACGCACCGTTGCGAATATCTGTCTAGGACTCGGTTTGCCTCTTTAATTTTTTTTTTATGCACAAAGTGATATGGAGCGGGCGAGGGCAGAGCCCCTCCCGGAATGGGGGCCTGATGCTGATTTCTATTTTTGCAGACTGGATTATTCTGCTCTGTATATGTGTAAACCCAAAAGGAGCTTGAAGCGAGACGACACCAAGGTAAAGTCTTAAGTTTCCCATAATCTGCTTGGATAGCTAATTAGGGCCATTGATTTCGCAGGGAAACTCTGCCCGCAAATATATTCCAGCCCAGAGCTTCCCTAACTGTGAATTTTAAGTGGCTTGGTGGATACTCCGGGGGGGATATTCAACACAGCACCTGAATTTAAATTGCATTTTAGAAGTCTAGAGGAGAGAGAGTTTCTGGGCATTAGTTCATTGCATGGTGTGGCTGGGGGTTGGGGTGGGAGGGTTCTATCCAGTAGTGAATGAGTGAATGTTTAGTTTACCGCTGTCTCTCTCCCCCCGCACCCCCCCCCCGCTCATGTATGAAGGATACCTACAAATTACCGCACAGATTAATAGAAAAAAAGAGAAGAGACCGAATTAATGAGTGCATTGCTCAGCTGAAAGATATGCTGCCTGAACATCTGAAATTGACCGTAAGATGCGCGTCTTCTTCATTCTTTGGTGGTTGGCAGGGTGTGTTGGCCTGATATAACTCCCAAGGTAGGGCCATAAATGTAAATATGAAGAGGGCTGACTCCCAACTTGTGCTGTAATGGAGTTTCCCAGAGACTCGGAACAGGGGCTCCAGGCTGAAGGCAAAGAGATCATTGATGACCTGCCTTGTTGGTCGCTGAGCAGCGCTTGCTTCCTTCCCAGTGGTTTATTATTATTTTTTTTATTTGCCCAAGTGGATGGCTTTGTGCGGAGCTAATCAAGTAAAATCTGTGCGTTTTAAAGGACCAGGTCCCCTTTTCTTTTGCACTGCTGCAGACCCTGGGACATCTGGAGAAAGCTGTAGTTTTGGAATTAACTTTGAAGCACTTAAAAGCATTAACAGCCTTAACGGAGCAGCAGCATCAGAAGATAATTGCTTTACAGAACGGTAAGTGGATCTAAGGAAGCCTGCCCTGATTTTAGAAGGAAAAAAAAAAAAAAAAAAAAAAAACGTTGGGGATGCAGTGCTGGAACTCCCCACTGCGTTCTGCCCCTGCTTCCCCTTTGGTGCTAAGTGCCCAGAGCATCCCAGAGGCTTTCTGCAGAGCTGAAGGAACCCCGATTTTATTTAAAGCGGCGGCGGTGCCTCTCTCCTTGGGTTTTTCAACCCGGAGGAGCGCGCATCACCCGCCACCCCCTCCTCTCGGCAGTCTGCGGATTATATCGCTGGAATGCCCAGGAAAAGCCGAGCTCACTGTAGGCAGCGCAGGGCCCACGTGATGAGCAGATGTCTTAATGCCGCGGTTTTTCTTCTCGCCTTCCTCCCCCGTGCACCCTAGGGGAGCGCTCTCTGAAATCGCCGGTCCAGGCCGACTTGGATGCGTTCCATTCGGGATTTCAAACCTGCGCCAAAGAAGTCTTGCAATACCTCGCGCGCTTTGAGAGCTGGACGCCTAGGGAGCCGCGCTGCGCACAGCTCGTCAGCCACCTGCATGCCGTGGCCACCCAGCTCCTAACGCCACAGGTGCCCCCGGGCAGGGTCACGGGCCGCGCGCCCTGTAGCACGGGGGCTGCGGCTGCCCCCGGTCCCGAGCGCGCCGCCCGCTGCGTGCCGGTCATCCAGCGGACTCAGCCCGGCACCGAGCCCGAGCACGACACGGACACCGACAGCGGCTACGGAGGCGAGGCGGAGCAGGGCCGCGCCACCGTCAAGCAGGAGCCGCCCGGGGACCCGTCGCCCGCGCCCAAGAGGCCGAAGCTGGAGGCGCGCGGCGCGCTCCTGGGCCCGGAGCCCGCGCTGCTCGGCTCGCTCGTGGCGCTGGGCGGGGGCGCGCCCTTCGCGCAGCCCGCCGCCGCGCCCTTCTGCCTGCCCTTCTACCTGCTGTCGCCGTCCGCCGCCGCCTACGTGCAGCCCTGGCTGGACAAGAGCGGCCTGGACAAGTATCTGTACCCCGCGGCGGCCGCGCCCTTCCCGCTGCTGTATCCTGGCATCCCCGCCGCCGCCGCCGCCGCAGCCGCCTTCCCCTGCCTCTCGTCCGTGCTGTCGCCGCCTCCCGAAAAGGCAAGCGCGGCCGCCGGCGCCCCCCTCCCGGCGCACGAAGTGGCGCCCCCGGGCCCGCTGCGCCCCCAGCACGCGCATAGCCGCACCCACCTGCCGCGCGCTGGGAACCCGGAGAGCTCTCAGGAAGATGCCTCGCAGCCCGCCAAGGACGCCCCCTGAGCCCCGCGGCCCTTCTGGAACAGGGCTAGGGGCCTCCCGAGGAGTCGCCAGGTTTCCGAGTTCAAATGCCCCCTAACGCGTGCCAGGGAGGAAGAGTAAGAGATGCTCCGCAGGCTTAGGACAAAAACAGGTGTTTTGTGTACGCTTGGAGTTCCTGTTTTGCCCGTTTCTCGCCCGTTTGCCACCCCACCCCTCACCCCCGCCGCCACAGATTTACCGCCCTGGGTAAATTTAGTACACACCCCCCTCCCCTTCCCAGATACCGAGCCGAGCCTGGGTCTACCAGTCTGCTGGGTGGGAGAGCCATGTGGAACCAGTCAGAGTGCCTGGCTCTAGGGTCCTTCGACTATGAGGCCTGGAGCAGGAGGTGCATCTACCAGACGTCCCTTTAGGAGACACTCCATTCACTGAGGATCTCTGAGAGTTAAATTCACACGTCAGTATTTCGTGTTGTTTGGAGTATTTTGAAAAGTACTTGTGTTTCAGAGAGGTGAGGATGCCTTTGCCCTGTTGTGAGGTGGTTGGAGAGGTGTCTTGGTACCTTGCACTTGTTTGGAAAGGCTGGGGATTGGGCCGCGTTCAGGCACTGTCAGGGTGGGAGCTGGGGGGGGGGGAGCCCTTGGCGCCTTTGCTCGCACTTTAATGACGAACTGACCTCAAACCCTTTGTCCTACTTTAATTTCTCCATCCATGTGATATGTCATAGGTCATATATCCGTGTTTCTGATGCATGCCCCCCATGGGCTATTTTACCCATCGTGGTCCCAAGTTTTTGTAACGTTATTTTTTTTTTTTTTAAATTCTTCAAAGTGCACTGGGCTGGAAAAAGAAAAACCCAGAACCAGTTGATTTGGCCTCAGATTCCAAGATGACAGTTAGTGGTCGCCTGTGATCAGAAGGTGTAGGAGAGTCCTGCTGCCAGTGTGTACGTGTTTTTCTGGAGACCAAACCAGACGCCAGATAATCAGGAAGAAAGCTTGTTAAAATAAGGCATAAACCAAGACCTCGTCTAGATATTTTTAGTTTGTTGCCAAGGTAGCACTGAGAAATCTCACTTGAATGTTACGTAAGGGGTGAGACACAATAGTCTGGAGTGGAGAATTATCTGGGTCTGTGAGTGTGTCCGGTCCATTCGCTGCTGCTGCTGTTGCTACTGTTTGCCTCAGACGCTGTCTATAAACAGCGTTAAACTCTTAGCCTACCAAGGCGGCTGTATGTACATAGCTGTTAATACACCCAATTAATGATGTCTGACATGCTATTTTTGTAGGGAGAAGATATGTACTAATGGTATTTTGAGTTAAAATATCTTTTTGGGGGGAGAGAACTTGGTGAGATGTTTGCACTTTGGTTACAATGCTTATAATGCTTGGTGCAAGCTTACGCTGTCTTAAATTATTAAACAAATAAATACATCTGCAAGAAACCAGCCGGTTTAGACAAGATTAGTATGTAAAGGTAAGCTAGAAACTATCTTTATACTCTAGTATTTTCAGCACTCCATAAATTCTATTATCTAAATATTGCCACACTATTTTGTGATTTAAAACTTCTTACCAAGGAATAAAGACTTTATATATGATATGAGGTTGTCTAATAATTAAACAATACTGAATACCACCACCACCCATTCCTCCTCCCCACCCCCGCTAGTTCCCAAACTTGTGAGTATCATGACAAGAGCTCATCCGGGTCATCAGACACGGTTTGTCTGTTTGGTTTTGGTTTTCTGTCATTGGTCTCCGGGGAGGCTCCTGGTTTGGCCCTGTGTCCCTTCTTGTCTCCAGTATATCGATGAAAACTACAAAAGGAATAGGCTAGCAGTCACTGGTGGCTTGTTTGCCTTAACCCCAGATTGCTAATGTTTTTATGATCTACCAGGTTGTGGTCTGTGGCCTCAGATAGCCTTCTCCTGTGTGGGCTGGTGTTTTCTCTTTCACCCAGGTCCTAAACAAACACGCTAAGGCTTCATTCTTGAGTATGGTTTGCCTTCCTAACTTTTACAAAGTAACCCTGGTATGGGGCTTTGTCTCAGAGTTCAGGAGACACTTTCTAGACTTTTCTCAAAACTGGTTTGAGACAAATGAACTGGAAGGCTGTCCATTCTCTGGAGTGGTGTTGTTGAACCCTTGATTGAAGGTGCATATAAGCTGTAGTTTGTAAGATGTAGGGAAAGTGCTCCCTCTGTTGACTGTGACAAGCAGATGGTGCACAGCACACCCAAGCCCCAACCTCAGACGTCTGCAAGCTCAGAGCTGGGTCCCCTGAGGTCTGTAGGGAAAGTCAGGCAAGGTCACACAGGCGCTGAGGGCCAGTGCATGGCCTCACCTCCCTCTGCCTAGAACTTGTGCTACTACAGCTCTCTGGGCTAGGCATACTCATTTTGGCTGAGTAATAACAAACCAACCACACAAATAAGGAAACAAAGATGAACCCTGCAAAAGAAGGGTTGGGGGCCCTTGGTAAAGGGTCAGTCATGAGGAAGATGGCTTGCTCTATGCCAAAATTGTGGAAAACTGCATTTTAAGTATTTTGAGCTACATTTTGTTACCACTGCCACCCTGGCCAAAAGAAGATGCAGTGAATCAGAATATAAAACAGTTGACATTTGCACCATTTTGTAACATGTAGGGTTTTTTGTTTTGTTTTGTTTTTACTTTGGCCAGATTTTATAGGTCACTTAATTAGTCTGAAATGTATACAGTCACATGATAAAACTATGAGGTTAGGGCGAAAAAGAAAATATGTGGTCTTCTGTGTCTGTAGGGGTGAAACTCCGGACTTGGGTAAGCTGGGCCAGAGCGTTACCTCTGGCCCAGCCTTTAGAAGCTATTATTTGAGTCATTGGCTGATTTTAATGAATTAACCTCAAGTCATCAGAATTCACTAAGAAGGTATCTATGTCTGTCGACTTGAAACATTAGCTGAACGTAGTAAGTTGTGTGATTTTTTTTTCCAACTTACAACTGTGAATCTTCATTCAACAATGCAGTTGGTAGTTTTGCAGTCCATTTTGCAGAAATAGATTTATTAGCCGACTTTTTGTTGAATTTATAAATGCCCCCACTACCCCGCCAAACTTTATTATTTTCAGGGCCTCAGAAACCAGAGCTGTGGAAATGTTGACAGGTACTGGAGTACCTCCATGTGAAACTGCTTTCATTAAAGCCCTGGCTGACATCTGGGACCACAGGGTTTGTGATTCCTATCAGGAGGTGAGTAGGACCTTAGCCTGGTTCTGTCTGTCTCAGGTTTGTCCTCCCCGAAGGAGGTGACTGCCCCTGAAGGACTTGGAAACACAGGGCTGGGCAAACAGGCAATAAAGTGCCTTTTATTGCAGGTAGAGATGAGCAGAGCAAATTAAGACTGGCTTCCTTACTGTGAAGGAGGGACTCTACTCTCAGAAAGCGACATGTCTTACTGAAATTTTCTTTTTCTTAACCCACTGAACCTTCTAACCATACGCCGAGGGCCTCTGTCAGCGGTTCTCATGACGGTTTAAGGAAGTTCTCTGTAGATTTGCTGTCTGCTCACACTCACTTCCAGAGCCAGCTTTTTTCATGGGCGAATCTGAGTGCAGGAGTGACAGAGCACAGTGGCTGGAGTGTGAAGGAGGGGGTTTGCACTACAAACACGCCATCCTTGGAATTCTGTGCCTCTAAAATTACATTTCTTATACTTCAGGGCAACCTCCAAGTACATACAAGACTACTCCAAAAAGAAGCTGATATTTTAAAACTCTAAATCTAAAGACACTGCCATAAACAGCAGTCGCTTCTAGACTAGTGCTATTTTTCTTTCTCTTGGAAAAAAAAATTAGTAGTATGCACACCAAAATTTATTATATCTATCCTCTGGAATGTTTTACACATGTCCTAGAAAAATACCCAATGCAAATTAAATGTTTGCTAATAATCTGAGGATTAAAAGCACTGCTTTCGCACTATGAATTTTGTGTGTGATGTCTGCACTCGGACTGACCCATACAAAGCTCTTGAGTCTGTTTATCTGTTTATTTTGGGGGGGCCGGCTGTCTCACTATAGCACTGGCTGGCCTGGAACTCCTGGGTAGGCCAGGTTGTCTTCAGACTCCTAAAGATGCTCATACCTCTGCCCCTGGAATGTTGGCTTAAAGGCAAGGGCCAGCACACCTGGCTACATCTGCTTTTTACAGGACTCCCAGCATCTTTCCACAGTCAAGTGTCACTTCTCAGTGGCCAGAAAGCCTCCTCCAAGGCTTGCCGGATTTGGTACCTATTTACTATGGGCTGGGACAGAACCACACCCAATTTGCAACGCTTGTCTAAACTGAGAGTAAACAGGCTCAAACAGATGTCCCCCCAGGGCTTTGCTGTAAGCAAATTTTGTGAGCTTATATTCTTAGCAATGGTCTCTTCCACAAACTATCTCTTTCTGTCTTCTAGAACTATCAGATTCTCAACAGTGTTCCACATTGGAGTATTTGACATTTTCAGATCCTTTACGTGCGTTCCCATTACTTTCTCGTGTAAAAACAAAATCCACTTGCCAGTGGTTTCATATGATAACAAGCGATGTGACACTCTCCTGTTAGAAATAAGCTACATGGCTGGCTGGGTGCTTCTTTCTTCCAGGTCAGTGATTCATGAAGACTGATTGGGTGTCTCCATTCATGGGTGACACCCCCCCACCCACCCTTTTTCTGGGTTGTAACACCTAGGCGTTGAACATGCTGGAACAGGTCCATCAAGAACATTCTGGAAACTGGGGGGGGGGGTTGTATTCGCACACACCCATGGCTGAGCCTCTGGGGACCACCTGCTGCACACACTCCTTTCCCAAGGCTTAAGACAGTAGATATCAGAGCCCTGCACGTTTTTGCTCTTGTTTTATCCAAGAGACTGGTAAGTGATGGAGTATCAGAGATTAACCTCAGGGTCTCAGTTCCACGGGGGTCATAGAACTAGACTCTGACAAGTTGCACAGTAGCATAGCAAATGCTGTGCAGTGGTGCATGGCAAGCCGGGGCTGCGTGGGGCTCCCTGACTTCCTCTGGGTGCAGTCGGAGAAGCCTTAGAGGAGCTGACAGGGTTTTGCAAAGTGGACAGGCTTTCGTGTGAAGACTCCGACCGGCCAAGTTTGTGCTGCCTTTTAGTTTCATGAGTTGTATTAAAGCTTGAGGTCTGAGGGAGGATTTCCTATTTTCTCCCTCTTGAGACCCTGACCACCCT